GTGTGCTCTTCCGATCTTATGTATATAAACCAAGCTGCTTTGTTTGCTGAACGCAGCAATATTGTCAATTGCAATGCAGATCACAATCTGTAATGTGATTGTACAATCTTCAATTTCAATCTTAATCTCAATCTTAATCTCAATCTCCAATGCGTAGTCTGATACCGGCTTTAACCTTTATCTGCTTTATCATTCTCGGTAAAAATGTCAGTAATTATCACGTGACCAAAAAGTCGTCAAGCCATTGGCTAAGATTGAGATTGAAGATTGAAAAATAGACGGAATTCTAATTTCCAAACTCCAATCTCAATCTTAGTCTGCTGTGTTCTCATTGGCTGAACTTCAATCTCAATCTTAATCTCAATCTCCAATGATACGCCAGTCGCGCTTCTTTGATAATCTAGGGACTCTAGATGCACCGTGCAGTGTGCAGTGTGCACTAGTTGTCTACTTGACTAGTGGTATTGTATATAACATACATATTGCCATTTGCCAATATGATATTGGCACTCGTGGGTCGTGGGTGCTTGCGCAGCTTGCGCTCCGCTCGAGGGCGTTTGCGGGCAACTGTAACCTGGTGTATATAACCTGCTGGTGTGTAACTGTCGCGCTGAAGCTCACTGAAGCTGCAAGAAGCTGTGCAGGTCAAGCAAGTCAGGTCGCAACTCGCAACATGAACTGCACTCCGTGCAGTTTACGCGATTGCTCTTATCAAGTCCCGCTCCTCTCGTTTGCGGCTCAGCGACGCGCGTGATGTGTGTCGGCGATTCCAATGCAAGGACGAAGCAGTTTTCGCGTATTATTCTCTGCGGACGACGATGTCGGGCAGCAGCGATTCCGAGGAGTTTTTCGACGCGGAGGACGACTCGTTTCATCGCGCGTCGCGGTAATTGTCGCTTCTCCATATTTGATCTCCGCCGCACGATTATGTCATAAATTGCAAATATTGATAGCTTGAATGGCTCGCATCTCTCTCGCGTATTCTCATTGCAAATAGATGATTCATCGCATGTACTTTCGTGTCTGATCTGATGTTGTCTGATCGATCGTGTTTTAATTGCGCGCGATTATTCCAAGATGAATCGTGTACATATTATGCAGGAGTCAGCACTCCGCGCGCGCACGAGCATCGTGTGGACATATGACTTGTCACATTTTGTTTCATTTTTTATATACATACTTATATTTTTTCAATGTCGCATGCTTCTCGCTTTTGCATATACATAGATACTTACGTGTACATATATATTGATAACAAGGATTTTCTCGAATCAGACAACTCAAATCGTCCTCAAAATCGAGACATTTAAAGTTGTATACAGCACAGTTAAAAAAAGCCGACATGATCTACTTGTAAAAATATTTGTACAAAATAGTCAATATATTGCATTTGTTATCCAATTGTCTTTTACTTTATTTCTATAGATTTGTTATGCACAGCTGTGAGGAATGCAGCTATTTTGCTACATTAAATGATATAAAGTTTGCACTTAAACACACTAAAATACACTTACAAAAATAATTTACAATTAATTATATTTGTTTTCTTTTGTTTTTGTGTAGAAAAGTTAAACAGCGTGAGTCTATCAGTGCTGAAGGTCATGCTAATAAAACGCTAGAAATTTGCAAACAGGAAGATCATGTTTTCGTAAAACCTACCGAACCAAAGAGTTGCATGACAGCCACAGACTGTGGACAAACGAAAGAAAAACTTGTAAGTATCATAATTGTAATACTATGTAAATGTTTCAATATACATATATCTGAGTGCAGGTATTGAACTTTTTAGAATAATTGGGAACTGGAAAGTTGCTAATTTTTAGGTATATTGCTTACTACTTGTTGAAATTGAAAATGTTTTGAAATTTATTTGAGACACATTTGGACTGCATCTTCATATAGCTTTATGATATTTTACACATTAAACACATGTTTTACGAGAGCACTTGGAACAAGAGAGCAAATTTTAATATAAAATGTATTTTAGGACGAGGATAGTAGAGAATCCACTGCAGATAAAATTGTAGGTAGAAGAAGATTTCGTGAACTTCGGCAACGCATGCAAACGGAAGATGATGATATTCCGATTAACAGTTCTCCTCCGGATAGCCAGACATCTTCCATCGAGGGTGTTTATCCTACTCCTTCGAAAACGACCCATCCATTCAGAATTATAGAGCATGACACTCTTAGCTTACAAAGTATGACCTCTTTAGGGCGAGTGGGCCGAATTCTGGCGGGAGTCGCAGATAACGCTTCTGGCGTACTTGTATCTGGTATATCCCAGTGTCCTCCTCCTGCCGCCCTTACCCGCGAGAGTCAGATGTCCTCCATTGCTAGTATTCCGAGCAAAGATGAGGACACAACCTCTGGTAAGGTGTCCCAGTCTTCCAGCGTCCTTACGTTATCAGGGGATATCCTACAGGAATCCTCTGTTAACGGTAGTAGATCCAATTATGCTTCTCACTCGCAAAGTGACAAGACTATTATGCTTCAAGAACCTGATGTCATCGCTAGTACAAAGAATAATGGAAAATCAGTAGAAGATGTTGCGATGTCTGGTGTACCCATTGCTCCACCGCGTCGTAAAAAGAAAATCAAGACAAATACATCGAGTGATCTCGCTGTAAGATTCATTATGATTATCTTTTAGCGCGGGCTAGTAATATTTATGCAGTATGTATGCAGATGTAATTTATTCTATGCAATTAATTTCAGCCCGCTGCAGAGGCACTTGTTCCCGCGTCACCACTTCCGAGTCCAGCAAGTACTATAGAATCGATAACTAGAGAATTCGAGCATTCTCTTGATATCCGATCCGCGACGAAAGGCCAATATGTCGTCAAGCCGCAAGTAAATACTCTCACTCTCGCTCTTGCTTTTGCGTTCTCTCCGCTCTCCTCATCTTTTCCTCTGCCCCCCTCCCCTCCCCGCTCTCGACCAAGCCCTCCTCTGCCCTTCTCATCCATCTTCTGTTTGTAGAGAAGAAAATAATTTCGTTGAGTGTTTTTTCATTAAAAATTTGCTTATAATGTATTTTTTAAATCTAGATATTCTAGATTTTTACACATCACGCGCATACACATGCACTTTTATATAGTATATACGCGCGCGCGTGCGCGCGCGCGCGCGTGTGTGTGTGTGTGTGTGTGTGTGTATATATGTAGTATGTACGTATGTTTTCTTTGTAGGATGAGGACAAATTGAAAGCAGAAGGTCCGTCTACCGAGGAATTAGAAAGGGTAGAAAGAATGAAAGCAGAATTGCTTAGTCGATCGAACGAAAAGTCCAGCAGTAGTCCATTAGGATCAGCATCAAGCAATAGTATCGGCCGTTATTCTCTAGGTCCGCATAAGCTTTCAGGCATGAGTCCACAAGGTTCCAAAGAAAGACGTAAATCTGCTGGTGATCAAGATTTGGTCAAGCAATTAAATATGTTTGTAAGGACTAGGACTGATTCTGGCAAGCGTCTTACCGATATGGTTCGTCGATTGATTATATCTTAAACGTAGATATATTCAGTATATTAAGGATTAAGGCAATATTTTCAAACGTTTTATATATTCTTGCAGGAAATCTTGGAACAAGTGCCTGTAACGAATTTAGATACGGGGGAACAGGTGCCATTAAGTATAGCAGAAGATAAATTACCGCAATGTATCAATCCGTTGTCATTACATATTATGAGACTCACTAAATCTAAATACATAAGCAATTCTAGTCTTGAGAAGGAGAAAGAGAGCGATGAGGAAAGTGTGGACAGTAAAATGTCTAGTATACCCCCAGACGAAGATGTATCGGTAGACAGAGTTCGTAAGCGAACACAAAAGTTGAAACGATTCCTAGGCTCGACTGTAAAAAAGACAATGGACAAAGCTAAATCGATCGCGCAAGAAGTATCGCACGCGAGACACAAGGAGGATGTTATGGACATAGTAGACGAAGTCTATCCTGGTGAACAACAGTACATAAAATTAAAGGCATCAAACAGCCACAAAGGTCCGTACGAATTCAGTTGTCTGCAGCACGTTCAAGATCTTAGCGGCGAACACATAGGACCCGTTTGGTGCATGAAATTTTCAGCCTGCGGCCGACTGTTGGCCACTGCGGGACAAGATCGCGTTTTAAGGATTTGGGTTCTACGAGACGCCTTCACGTATTTTCAGGACATGCGAACAAAGTATAACGCAGAGAAAGTCAGTCCTACTCCGTCGCAAGAATCGTTAGTCTCGCAGCAATCCATGGAAGATCCTAACGTCGTAGCTAGTGCCTTCAGCGAGATAGAAGGAACAAAAAGCCCGTTTATGCCAAAGCCATTTTGCACATATACCGGTCATACCTCGGATCTGCTCGACGTCTCCTGGTCTAAAAACTACTTCGTATTATCTTCATCGATGGACAAAACTGTACGGCTTTGGCATATATCTCGCAAGGAATGCTTATGTTGCTTTCAGCACATCGACTTTGTCACCGCCATAGTATTTCATCCGCGGGACGACCGATACTTTCTCTCAGGATCGCTGGATGGCAAATTACGCTTATGGAATATTCCCGATAAAAAGGTTGCGGTATGGAACGAAGTGGACGGGCAAACAAAGTTGATTACCGCGGCGAATTTTTGTCAAAACGGAAAATTCGCGGTTGTAGGCTCGTATGACGGTCGTTGCATATTTTACAATACCGATCAGTTGAAATACCATACCCAAATACACGTCCGATCGACAAGAGGGAAAAATTCTACCGGTCGCAAGATCAGTGGAATCGAGCCAATGCCGGGGGAAGACAAGATATTGGTTACGTCAAACGACAGTCGCATTCGTCTGTACGATCTGAGAGACTTGAACCTGTCTTGCAAATATAAGGGATACGTTAATGTCAGTAGTCAAATTAAAGCAAGTTTTAGCCCAGACGGACAATATATAGTTAGCGGTTCTGAAAACCAGTGCATTTATATTTGGAAAACTCATCACGATTATTCCAAATTTTCTAGCGTTCGTAGGGATCGAAATGATTTCTGGGAAGGCATAAAGGCGCACAATGCCGTAGTAACGTGTGCCGTATTCGCACCGAATCCAGATAGTATTATCAAGCAAATCGAAGCGAGAGAACAATGGGAGAGTAAGGAGGAGCCGAAAGGCGTGGATAGTTCCAACATGGGTGTGATTCCCGTTGATCCTGTCGTTGAGCAACGCACTAAAGGTTGCGGAGGCCACGTTCTCGTGAGCGCCGATTTCAATGGGTGTATAAAGGTTTTCTTAAACAAGACGAAACCGAAGCACAGTTCCCTACCGGCATCTGCACTCGCGTAACGTAATATTATCTACGAATCTACGGGGCAATCGTATTAATCGAGAAAATAACGTATATAGTACGAGCGTATCGTCGCGTGCAAATTACGCTCTTGCCTCTTAAATTTCGCCTACTGCAAATTTCGCTATGGGCTCGTCTCTTCTCGATCGAGAAATACCAGAATTGTATACAAACTTTTTTTTAACGGTATTTTTACGCCAAGTACAAGCACTGTTTTATCTTCGTGCGCGCGCGCGCGCGCGCGCGCACTTGCGTGTGCGTAAATAGTTTTAAGCGATAATATACATATATTAATGACAAAGCTTTTTTTCTTGAAATCGTGCTTAAATGTTTAAGTTTAATCACAATCGATCAATCTGTCAATTCTAAACGTAATACGCTCTAATGCAGGGGATACTGAAATGTAAATTCCATTGAAAGTTTTATTGCGTCAGATAAAACAAATTTTGTTCATTTTCATATTTTTTGAATATTTTGTTTGCCAACGGATGTGAAAAGAGTTTTTTCTTTTACTTTCTTCTCATCACGATTCGACGGTGCTGGTCCACTGTTACAAAGAAAACAAAATATAGTTATTAATATCTTACAAGAGAGATTTATCAAAATTATGTTGTAAAATGATAGTGATAAATCGCGTCAATGAGGACGGAATTGTTCTATACTGTACCGACTGCACGTACAATTAAGACACAGAGAAGATTAGAGCACCTTGGTGAAAATAAAGTATAAAAGAGTATACAGAGGATGGAAAAATATTCGAATAGCATGTTTTATTTGTTATACGTCAGATTCGCAGCTCTTATAAAAGATTTTCATTATTTACTAATAGTGAGACGTTAAATAGGAATTGTTAATTTTTACAAATATCGAATCGAATTTTCGCAAAATCCTAATGCTTTCTAAAATGCGTCCTTCTTGAACATAATAGGTGTAAGATAGTGTAACACATCGAAGACAATATCAGATATTTGAAAGCTGACGTATGTATATCATGGTTTTTTTCTACGAACGTCCTATATTTAAAAAACGTAATTAAACGTCGTATTTTTTGTTGTGGAATTTTAGTAACACGTACGTATATGAGACGCGTTACAGTTAAACATTGCGTTACACACACACACACACACACACATACACACACAAGCACAACATATATGTTAGTTTTCATGATTAAGCGTACACTCGTGAACAATGAGGTTGCGATACTTTTTTTTTTTAGTGAGTTTTATGAACGCGTGGTTTTTAACTTTCTAATAAAGTTTCTCAAATAATATAAATAAATGATATAATTTGATGTTAGTATTGACATTTGGTACAGTATTATTTTAATTATATATAACATGTTTGTGCATTCGTAAATTAACTGAAAAAAAAGTGTTGCAATCTCATTGTCCACGACTGTTATAAATATGTAGTTCATCCCTCGTTGATATTTTCTGTAGAAATTGTAATATGCCTACGATATTCTAATTCAGAGTTTAATGTAGAAGATTATGTTACATTGGGTTAATATCAATGCAAAACTTGTACTTTTAAATTTTGTCAATTATAAGAACGTGTTTGTGTGTGGTGTGTGTGTGTGTGTGCGCGCTCGTGTGTTGTATGAAGAACAGTTTCGGAATTCTGTATGACAATGAGATTACATTATACGCGACGTACACTAATCTTTTTTCTTTCTCTCACAATGTATAGCTATATGTTAATTTGGAAACGTTCATAAAAATGAAGACGTCGAAATACTTGAATCGGAGCAAGATTGCTACAATTGTAAAATGATTAAGATTTGCAGCAACGAGCCAATACGAGTTTTACATATACCTAGTGTAAAATACGTTTAAATTGTATCGCGATTACATGTATGTACATACGCAGGGAAGAATTGTAATTATTTTATGTAAACGCAATTGTAAATATATATAATAGTGTATCGATATTGTTGTATTGTCAATATGAAAATATCCAAGAGAAATTCGTTAAAAAAAATAAGGAAAAAATCATCAAAGATTATCGGATAAGAGTTAATATTATATAAGCCAATGCTATAAAGCATAACACAAAGCATATTCTAATTTATGTTTATTCTTTTTCTTCATATTTTACTTTAGATAAATGCAATTTATTTTCTGTTACTTTAATTGTATTCGACGTCAATGTCCTCGTTCCTTTTTTTCCAGTTTTGTTTTTCCCCATTTTTTTAGTAATTTATATTATTAAATATTATATTCGACATTTGGAGAAATGTATCGATTTGCAGAAAGGTAAACACATATGAATATATAAATATATATAAACATGTACCAATGTCGGTAGTGTATTATTCCAACAGTAATAGAAAGAACTCGAAAATTAATTGATAAAAAAATTTTGATTGGATAAACGACAATTGGTAAATTCATGGACATAAGAACCTAAACCAAAAATATTTTTATTTTAATAAAAAATCGTTGAAACCATCAACTAAAGTATATGCAGGAAAACTTCAATGACATTGCCTTTATAAATAATTCTAAGTTTCAAGAAACAGGCTTAAAGTGACAATAAAATGACCAACGGGATTTTATTTAAACGATCACGTTTCGGATCTCGAGACCATCTTTATTAATTAATAAAATTGTCAAACTTTTCGCGCTTATTTAAACGACCATGTTCCGGGGCTATTCTCTAATTAATAAAATTGTTAATAAATTATAAAGGTTTTTGGCGCTCATTTTAACGCCGTTTTGCATTTCCGAATGTTCATCAATTTTAATAAAATCGTCATAATTTTCAACGCGATAGCGTGCTGATCCCATTTTCAATTCACTAATTAATATAAAACGTACAGGTGTTTTTGACGCTTATTCAAACGCGTGCCGCTGCATTTCCGGGGCCGGATATTCGTCAATGTTCACAAAATTGTCATAAATTTCATCTTTGAAGCGCACTCCCTGCATTTTTAATTCACTAATCAATGTAGGTATAATAACAAAATGTATTGGTTCTTTTGAGCATTTTTCAAATGCGGCAGCTGAATTTCCGGAGCCGAATGTTGGTCAATTTTCACAAAATCGCCATAATTTTCAACACAGTAGCGCGCTGCTCCCATTCTTAATTCAATAATTAATAAAATGTACAAGTGTTTTTGGCGCTTATTCAAACGCGATCACTGCATTTCCGGAGCTGGAGATGCGTCAATTATAACAAATTTGTCATGATATTGACATAGGAAGCGCGCCTCCATTTTTAATTCACTAATTGATAAGTATACAAAATGTATAAATTTATGGAGCATTATTCAAACGCGTCCACTACACTTACGGAGTCAAATGATGGTCGAATTTTTACAAAATCATCATAATTTTGACCTTGGAAGCGCGATACGATTTTCAATTCACTAATTGATAAGTATATAAAATGTAAAAATTTATGGAGCATTTTTCAAACGCTGCTTATCTGAAGCCGGATATTTGTTAAATTTCATTATATCGTAATAATTTTGATCTTGTAAGAATGCTCCCATTTTTAATTCACTAACTAATGTAGGTATAAATTAAATTAAATGTTTAGATTTTTTGGACACTTTTCAAACGCGGCCGATGCATTTCTGGAACTGGAAGTTGGTCAATAATTGAAAAATCGTCATAATTTTCACCTTAAAATTGCGCTCTCGGAATACACCTGAAAGCCAATAAACTACCCTTAAAGTCACTCAAAATATTCTAACGGTGCCAAAAATAATTTTTGTAGCAGTAATTGCGGTTTGACACGTGACATCATATGCATGCCAAAAGCGGGTGAGAAAAAACCGATTGAATTGGAGCGTCGGAAGGCACCCTTACGACCAATAAACTACCCCTAGTGCCACTTAAAAATTTTTAACAGCGCCAAAAATGATTTGTAACGTTTGCGCTTTGGCACACGACAACAT